GTTTGCTGAGCAGCACGGAGTCATGTAACCCCTACCTGTCGAGGCCCACCCTTCTGTGCAGTCAGTGGCGCAAACCCTTCTACAAACAGACAATAGCTCTCTGGGCCCCCCCCCCCCAAATAGGCACAGGTAGCCTAGTATCAGGGGGGGCCCCTTTGGGTCAGGGTAGAGTCCTACTACATTCCTTACCGCATGAATGTCCTCATAACATCCAGAGAATGTAAAAAAACCCTGCGGCTCAGGAGTTCAGCAAAGCTCTGAGTCCGAGCCTTGCTCAGGCCGAGGTCGGCGAGCAGCAGCTCGTTCTTAGTCGGCCACTTTCCCCTGGCTCCCAGCAGGAAGCCATAGACAGTCACCTTCTTCGTCTGAACTCTGCTCGCCCTGATCACTGGAATGAGAGGGCGGTACTTGCTTTCCTTTTCGATTTGTGCGCGTTCTAATGACTCATCGAATTCGTACCTCACTGTCACATCAACAATGAGCGCCAGGTCATCCAACCAGCAGATCAGGTGCACTCCCCGGAGGGCAGCATCCAGCGCTTTTCCCTTTCCACTTCCCATCCATGGCGCTCAGCCTCCGCGACGAGGACCTGGCACACCCTGTGGTGCCTCTGAATACGGCACCGCTTGACCTTCGGGCAGAGCGCAAGGATGTGCCAGCAAGTCTCTGGGGCCTCCCCACAGTGTCGACAACTGACATCTACTGTATCGGTCCTTCGGCAACCCTCTAGCTCTCGGGTCAGGTAAACATTCGCTCTAAGCTGGACAGCCGCCGTAAATTCCTAAGGCTTTAGCTTGTTTGGCGGGTAGTTGTACAACCAGCAGTTGCTGATCTTGTCCGCTTCGAACGTCCGAATCCCTTTTCCCTGCACCAGTTGACCGGCCCATCTGTCGAATTCAACTTGGCGCCAGTCACACGGGACTATGCGCTTCCTCGGCCTCACCGTGCTGACAGGGTCAGAGGTCCCCTCCGCAAGGGAGCCCTCCACCAGAACCGGACCCAGCTCAGGTCCCTTATCTGGCGACCCTCCAGCCCTCAGCCATGCCCTCTTAAACGCAACGTGATCAGTGGTCTCCAGAAACATCCACCTGACCATCTCGTCCTTAGAACGGGACAGGCCCAGGAGTCTCCTTGGCCTGTATGGCGGGAACAATCAACAACAATTTAGGGATACCCAGACCACCACTGGATTTCCTTGAGTAAAGGAACACCTAGCCAGGTGCAACCACCACTTCACCGCTTGTCTTATGCCCGTATCCATTTCTGTCAGGGCCTTCGCGGACAGCATGCAGTGATCAGCCACGAAGATGACCCTCGGTACGGCAAACTGGCACAACAGGGACACCTTGTCAAGCGGACGTAATGGCGTCTTGGAGATCGCAACTACCCACTGTCGTAGTTTGGCAACCATATCCTCAGCGAAGATCCCTGTCCACGGGTTCACCTGGACGCCCAGGTACTTTATTGATTCCTTAGGCCCAATAATGTGAAGAGCCGTTCCGTACAGCAGCCACAGCTCGCACCTGTTCACTTTGTACGACCTGCTGCCTCTCTTCTCTATCAGGAACCCGTGGCACTTACTGGGCTGGGTGCGCATTCCAGTAAGCGCGCAGAAGTCCACCAGGATATCAAGGTTGGCTCTCATACCTTCCCAAGAATCACTCACTATGGCCAAGTCATCCGCAAATGCCATCGCAGTAATGGGACTTCCCATTCACTGAGAAGCCCCTGCCCTCACGTTCAAGTTGCTGGATAAGCGGATCCAGCGCCAGGTTAAAGAGGAGAGGGGACATGGAGTCACCCTGCTTCACTCCCACCTTCATGGCGATGTCAGTGGAAGAACCCTCCTGACAGAGCACCTTTGTCACATGTCTGTAGGAGTCCTTGATCAACTCCCCATGTGTGGTCAAGCCTTCTGCACAGAACACTCAGGAGTGCTCGTGGGAGACGGTATCGAAGGCCTTCGCAAAGTCGACGAACACAACCGCGAGGGAGCACTTTCCTGCCTTGCTGAGCTTATGCAACCCTCCAACAGCATGAGGTTTTCTGAACAACGCGGAGAGGCAATGAAACCCCTCTGGCGCGGGTGGCTTGGGCAGGCCACAGTCATCCTTTCCGTCAGGATCCACGAATAAAGTCTTAGGACCAGGGACGCAATGGTTATGGGCCTCCATTACCCCACGTCACCATGTAGACTAACGTCCCCGGTCTTCGGGATAAGGGATGCCTGCCGACACCAACCATGTTGAGTACATATGAGCCAATTTAATCCCTTCAGGGTCCCATTTGGACAGCGCGTCTTTAGTGATGACATCCGGGCCCGGGGAAGAACGGTTCTTGATGGACTTGAGATGGGCTCTGACTTCGGCCGGATCGATTAGCTTCCCAAATCCTGCGTTGTCGGCAGTCCCGAAGCCCTCGAACTGACCCAGACCCAGGAAGGCTCTGACTATGCTCCACCTCTCCCCGAAGACCGCCGATACTTCAACGAGTGGAACGG